TGGTTGGTTGGGCTTTGTTTTGTATTTTGGGGGGGCTGGATTTTTGATTACTACATCCTGTCACCATTGATTTTATCCCAGTATCACCAAGATCATTTGCCCTAATCAAGTGCAACATTACAGCTTGCAATACTACATCAAAAATACCAAATATTTTCTATTATAATATTACAGGACGAAGGCTGTTACTAGCCACAACCAACAAGCCTCAGAAAGCTTATAGTTTCTCCAGCACACACCAAATATTAGCATCAGAGTTACTGATTACTGATACTATTTCAATAACTTTTCAAGATGGCTCTTAGATGATCAAAGTTTAAATACTGCTTTGAAACACAAGAGCCAGTGAAGCCAAAGCAAGTCATGATGCAACTCAGGATAAATAAAGGAAGATGTTGTCCTAAATGTTAACTGAAGTTTCTGAAGTCAATGGACTTGAGCTCTTTTTAATAATCTTAAGGATTGCTAGTTCAAACTATTTAGCCTATGCTAGTTTAACCTAGTGCTTAGGACACAAAATTTTCATGTTCTGATACCACTTACTACAGTTAAAAAAAAAAAAAGCGCAACTGCTAAACGTGTCCAAGTGAAGTAATTTTCATACTATTCAAAACATTTTTAGGTTTGCTAACCAAAGAGACCTGTGGCTTGCTGATGAATACATGGAGGTTTTTATGTTGTCACATGATGGGAGTCACATCTCACTTTATTTTTAAACATACTGCAAGAAATGCACTACAGAAAATGCTTTATGTAATCAATAACACAGCAGATGAATGGAAATCATTCACACTGTGCTAAGGCACACAGCTTGTTTAATAAGGGTCCCTAACATTAGCCTTTCATAAACCAAACGAGAAACTGTTTTCTTCTGCTGCCTTATCTTAAACAAGCAATTGCTTGTGTGATTCAGCAAATAGTACAAATTTCTAAGGACCTCAAATATTCTAAATGGCTGGGGGAGGTGTAACAGAAAAACACTTTTTAAAAGCAAAGTCTGCCAAATCTAACATATCGTATAACACAGCAAACAAGAGATACATAAAAAGCATGCTATTTGGAGGTTCAAAATAATTGCAAAGTTCGATTAAAGTCTTCAATGTAGCATAAATGCACAAAAAGAATTTGCCTTTTAATGTTACTGAAGTTCTCTGAAGGAGGTTTCTTCAAACATTGTAAATATTTGTATTTGTTTCCTTAACCACAGGTAGAAATATAATTATATCCCAGTCATGGGGGAAGAAAAATTTCACCTGTTCAAGTAAGAACTCTGGGTATTTGGTATGCTTTCTAACTAAAATAAATGAAAAAATGCAACTATAAGCATGATCAGCTTTCATGTGCCGTCTTGTAATATAATAAACCCATTTTCACTTTCCAAAGACACCTAAAGTCTTCCGTAAAATATGTTCCACTTTTATTCCATGGTTAGTAGAAGGATATAGAAAGCATTCCAGCAATGAAAACACATGGATGTAATTTCCCAAGTCTAGCATTCACTTAATAGGACCTGAGGTACCTCTTTATTGAGCCTCACTTAAAACACATGCAGGTGGATTAACTATGTTTTGATTAGCCTGGGTAACTGTTTATTAAGCTACAAAACTAAAGCAAAAGAGTACTTTCACATTAAATTTTATAACAGAAGTTTATTTTTTTTTCTTTATGCAGAGATGTTTCAGTTACTGAATTCTGACAAGATGAAAAAGGTATTAAAACAAAAAAAGTAAGTACATGAAAGTCAGCGGCAGCCCCTACTGCCAGAGTGAAAAAACCTGATCCCACTTGAAACTCACAGGAATATTCCTTTGACTACAGCAAGATCACAATTTTGCTGCACAATTCATTTAAGGAGCCTGTGAACTCTGTCCAACCTTATCCAACACATTTACCCTGAGTATTTTGATCAGGCCAATCCACACAGATCCGTTTTGGGGTAACTAAAGCTGTTTCAACCTGGAAGCATGGATTTCTTTGAAGAATTAAAAGCCATAAAGAGCAAGCAAAGATAAATTAGCATCACAGAAGAACAATATTAGTGAATTACAGAGGCCTGAAGCAGGCATGTAATTTCAAGATATGATCTACTGAATTTAAGCACTGCCTTAAGAAATGGGTAAAGCCTTGATTATCTATACCCTAATCCCACTTTAAAATGTCTCAAAGCATGTATATTTCAACTCTTGTAAATAACTAACTACAGCTGTTTAGCCTTACCATCCTCTTAAAGATGGCTGTCACTCTGCTGTCATTGTAATTATCCTTGTAATTATCTCAGACTGAGCATATACAATCCTGTCTCAGAACTGAAGCCAACAAGCTAAGCAGTAGCCAGGCTACTACCTGCTATCAGGCCTCCTGAGGTCTGAGTGGCACAGATAAGGCCAGGAAGTAGCAACTGACCTCCTGGCAAGCATTAGGCCTGGCACCAAGAAGGCAAACCCAGTCTCACCCTGTTCATTCTTTACTGCCAAGTGATAGACAGCAACGAATTAAAAACATAAAGGCAATAGCATAAGGTCTGGGACTCCAGCCTATTAAGATCAGTGAGGCCAAGCACACATTCAAATGCTTTACTAAACAGAGCCTAAGACATAGTCTAGGCTTTGTACAAATCTGAACTTTTGTGGAGATGTGACACATCTAATCATTTACAGCTTCTCTCTGTAGTTGGGAATGGCTTAGTAACAGAAAACACAAATTAGCTCTCTTAGTTACAGCAAAACCACCTTTCTACCAGGTTTTGTATTTTAGGGCAAATATGATGTACTACTTTGAGTTCTGAAGATTAAGGTGCTTGCTTATTCCTTCTGTTAGCAAAAACATTCAGCCTACAGGAACACTACAGCTTAGGAGACAAAAGGTGCAGTCCTGCACCCAGTTCTGTCAAAATAAGCTAGATTTCTGTTCTTTAGTAGGTTTGGTTGGTGTTTTCTTGAGTCAAGATTTCCAGCCCAAAAGAAAAGACACTGGAACAAGGGAGTATACTATTAATATTGCTTAACAGCTGAACAGACATCTTGCAGCCTAATATTTATTATGGTGTATAACACTGTTTTCAAACTCTGCTTTGTCACCTTTACTCATGTCCTCTGAGAGTAGTCACACTGCTGAGCTTTGAAGCTCATCAGAGAAGAGTATGCAGGGTTGGCCGAATTGCCGGTTAGGCACTTCGTGCACATTACTGACAGAATCTGTTGCAGGTAACAATCCTAGCCTCTAAAAAGCAGTGAAGCAAACAGCAACGTCACCACCCAGCTCCTTCAATAATATTAATAATTGCTAAAATATTGCACTTGCTTAAACAAGCGTTTGATACCGCTCCAAGCCTTCTACCACTAACAGGTGATCAAGATGACCTTTCAGGTTAGTGAAAGCGAGGAGCTGCCAGAGTTAGGCATTGCGATGTTGCAACTGCCTATCAGCCATTTGTTCAATGCTATACAAAGCACACATTAAACCAGTCCAAATCTAGGACTAAAGACAAAACAGGGAATATTAGGTAAGAAAATTTCCACTTCTTTTTGAATCAAGCCATTAGAGTCTGTATTACAAGACAGGTACATTTTTATTATATGGAATAGAACCAGACTGTCTATTTTTAGTGCATATTTTAAGTTTTTTTTAGTATCTTTCAAGTGAGTAAAAACTAGCATACTAAGTTACTTTAATACAGAAGGAAAGCATCTCAGAAGGCTAACATTTTGACAGAAAAAGAGACTCCTGACACTCTCAACAAGTTTTGCTAATGAGGGGCAGTAATGTGTCTACTGTAAACACTGAGCATTTCCCATTAGTAAGTATCCAAGTCCTTCAAATACATGTTGCAATGGACTGCCTTTCATTCTTCTACGGACTATGCTTCATTTCTTTCACTCAAAACTTACTCTACAAGGAGTCTCACTGGCTACTTAAAAGCATAAAAAGGTACACAACCAGGCCCTCAGGAAACTCAGCACTGCACTACTCTGCACTAATGAAAACCAAATCTACTGCAACAGCTCATGTAAAGGTTATGAAGACTTTTAGCAGCAAGGGGTTGTAATGAAATCTCTGTGGTGATGTGCTATTTTGTGAAGATTTTTTGATAAGTACCAACAGTGTTCAGATAAGTCATAGCTGGATTAATAAAATCCTACTTCTACCAGGCCAATATTTTACTCACCCAAGTGGACAGTGCATGGCCGAGATAAAGAAGAAACTTTGCAGACGTAAAATAGGCAACGACAGATCCTAAACGAGAAATAAGAAACAAACGCTAAAGGAGATCCGGACACACCCACCACATTTCGGTACACACTCGCTGCCGTGGAGGCACCCTCAGCACACAGCGCCGGAGCCCACCTCCCGCGGTCAGCCCACTCAGCCGGGCCCCTCACCCCCCGCCCCACACCCTGC